GGACGTCAGTGGTCGCTTGATAAACCGAAGCGACCAATCACGCGCGTGGAATCGTCGTGCCCTCTAGTGGCTGAAGTGTGGAACCTCACGCATGTTCATGACAGTCGTGATTGGTCGCTACGGTTTTTATATCAATCGACCAATGACGTTCCGTGCAATCATTGTGCAGTCCCATTGTGATTGGTCGCTGGTTGATAAACTGTAACGGACGTGATTGAGGGCAGCCCAATGGGGCCTGCACGATGATTGCACGAACGTCATTGGTCGATTGATATAAAAACCGTAGCGACCAATCACGACTGTCATGAACATGCGTGAGGTTCCACACTTCAGCCACTAGAGGGCACGACGATTGCACGCGCGTGATTGGTCGCTTCGGTTTATCAAGCGACCAATGACGTCCAACGTGCAGTTGCTGCCATCTCGTGGCTAAAATATGCAACTGCAAGTTACGGTTCCATCTTGAACCACCGGAGGGCGACTCTTGCACACAACCATTTGGCCGGACCTTGTTGTTGGCGGAGCAAAACCAAACAACCGACCGCATTTCCTAACAAGATTTATTCAGAAAGTGTGTCCCTACGCTAAACTGCCCTTGTGGAACACAAATAAAATAGTTATCTTTATCTTTATCTCTTTCTTTATGTGACTTCCAAAGGGCCAATGAAAGGACGTCACTTGTGAGTTACTTGTAAGTGTTGGAGCACCCTGGATTAAGATGTAATAAAACCAGAGATTTTATAAAGATTTGGTTATTATTGCCCTTACCTAGAGGCAGAATTGAAGTGTAAATGATGGAGTTTAATATTATTATCCTATTTTAGAAGGCAACTGAAGACACAATCATCTCGGTTAGCAGCTCTGTACTTTTCCAATGAAATTGATGTTTTTTGTCCAACAATATATTCATATATATGTGTGTATATATGTGTATATATATATATATATATACATCAACACCTTATATCAAGTATTGTATCTGAAACAACAGTAAAAACACAGGGATTTTAAACATTGATGACAAATATACTGAAAGATTGAACAACTCATTTTAACTTTTCAACATCTGTAAAAGAAAATGAATTTTATCATTTAATCATTTAAAATTCAAAAATATTAATATATTTTAAAAATGTATGTCCTTTACATACTACACTCTATTTTGGGCCTGTTTAGAACATTTTTGAAAAAAATTATTATTTTTTTTTACCATGACAATTAAAATAATAGCAAGCCCAATTTAGACCAGCCCAAGAACAAATGGGTACAGAGCAAACTCTATTAGATTTTAGTTCAATCATGTCTACTTGAATTTAGTTTTTACCAACAACTAATGAAGGTCTTAGTTTGTTTACTTTGAGCAGCCAATGTGTGGTTGTCAGATCACAATACAACTCAGAAAAACAGTAGTTTGAACTATTCTAGTTTTGCTGACCGGCTGCTGACACCAGTCAATAATAATAGTATTGTACTTTGTTCATGTCTAATTAATCATAATCGGGTCTAATGGTGAGACTAACAAACCGTGGCTGCAGAAATCACCAGAAAAATGAAGAGATGCTCCTGTCCATCAAAATCTGCTACAGTGGTGCATTCACTGTCCAAATCTGTGCTTGCCTTCTATTGCTTTATCAGACATTATTACCGCAGCCCGAGCTGGAACACAAACCTATCTGTGGGGCAACAGTGCTAACCACTGCCCCACCTGGCAGTAAAAACCATATCTGTGTTGGTAAAAACAGCCCAGTTGGTGAAACATTTATATCCAGACGCAGCTGAGGACAGGAAAAAAAAACCTTATCTAAAATAACATTTCTCCTCAAAGCACAGGTTCCTTTTATTTACAGACAGGAACAGTGTGAGACTCTGGGACACAGCGGTCACAGCTAAAACCCTGAAGTAATGCCTTGCCAGAAGTTAGAACTCCTTGTGGAACTGTTGACAGATTCAAACCCACACACGGCCGGGCTCCAGTGCCTTTATTAGTAAAGTGCTCAGCCTAGATGTACATTCATACGTATATACTAACATGCAATAGTAAAAACAACCAGAAGTCTGGCCTATCAATAGCATGGATGATGACACAGCAACGGTAATCGCATAGAAAAGAAGAAAACAATACATTGTGGGTTCAAGTAAATACACAGAACTTCAAGTACTGCACGATTTTCTTTTAAATGAACACAAAGGTCAATATTTTGTTTCAATTTGCAACCATGGAATAAAGAAGAGGAAAAAATATCCACAGATAATTCTCTTCTACGTAGATTTCTAATTAAATATAACCAACATGGAAATATACAGTAGGTGGTGTAGAGATGAGGAACTCATTCTAACGCAGTAGTACTAGAACTGCTGTGAGTTTGGGTGCAGTTTCAGCAGAAAGAGTGACCTTATGACCTTTTATGAAATTATTTTCCATTCTGCCTAATTCTTCACAGCTAATATACCACAGGGCGTATGTACAGACAGTGTAGAAACAGTTGATGAACTGCAGTGAACTCTTTAAAGTAAAGGTTTGAGATTTTGCTGGATTTTTCAACATTTAAAATCTTTTTTTTAAATATATATATATTTTTTTGGCGAATGACAACAAAAAAACCTAATTCTGGGCACTTAACACATGGCAGTTTTTAATATCTATATAATAATGTTTGCTAACATGCAATGTTTAGTTTTTTTTTTAAAATCATTATCAGACTCTTGTTTCTATCTTCTGGATCATCATATTCACATGTTTTGGCCCTAATCCAGCCCAGGTCATAACACAACAACTACAAGCACCAAAACCAAAGAAATCAGGCTGGATGTAAAAGTTCAAACCCTTCATGATGAGGCTGTGGCCATATGTTGGAGCAGAAGTCTACTCTGCCTGTCTAGGAAACAACTTCCACTCACGTCTGCCTCCTATTAAGACTCATACAATATTCAGGTGTTGTGACATGAGTGATGCTGATGCTCCTTTATACTGGAGGCCTCAGCAAAAAAGCCAAAAACACTCACACCTCACAAAATACCAAACAGTTACTTTAAACTCTGTTCTCTGGTCAGTCCAGTAGTACGGCAGCTCTAATACTCAAGCAGTTGGTGACACGATACAAAATTACTGGTAATCTCTAAATGCATAGATGTTGTTTGGACGCTCTGATGGACTTCAGCTACCTACGCTGCAGCAGTCGGTGGATCCTGCTCTTCAGGACGGCGAAAGAAAAAATCTCTGTTGCTCAAAAAAAAAAAACTGAGGAGAATGAAGCAAATACACCTATCTAAGACAAAAAGTGGTCATGAACTCATCGGTGGACCTGCCCGCTGTCACACGTCCCATGAGGAAACTACAGAATTCCATGCCTCTTCAGTCCAGTGTCGGGGAAAAGAGCCATCGGCGTAGATTTTTCAGGCCAGCAGCAGCACTCGGCTCTCCGTGTGAGGTCAGACACTTCTACCAGATGTATCCTCCGTCGTCTGCCTCGCCCTCTTCCTCTTCCTCCTCCTCTGCTTCCTCGCCATTGTCCTCTTTCTCCTCTTCGTCCTCCCATCCCACACCGCTTCCTCCGTCTCCGGAATATTCAGCAACTTCATCTGGAACAAAAAAAAGAATTATCTTAGCTATTCTTCCCAAAAACTGCTGTTTAAGAGCAGCATTCCTGATGCTGCGGCCGTCAAAGTTTGTTCAATACAAAAAAAACCAACATTTTAAATACTGGCTAATCTGGTTGTGCAGATAGATTAAGTAAAATTTCCTGAAGGTCAAAACTTATTCATCATTAACATGTAAGTATGGACCGGATATGGGTGGTTTGTGGGCCGGTGGTGGCCCCCGGGCCTGATGTTTGAGACCTCTGCTCTACATGATTCAGAGCAACATCCCAATGTAGATGACTGACTTTAAACATGTGTGATGTGCTGGACACCCTCTGATTGGTGCCTGGGTGTTTAAAGTTTTCAAAAGAGTTTTCACAGAGTCAAAGAGTCAGTCGTGATGATGCAGGAAAATCCAGACGCACGGAGTCAAAGACAACTTCAGAGAAGAGACTTTCTTGCAGTGCACAGTGTGAGAACCATCCCTCCTCCTCCTCCCCCTCCTCCTCCTCTCTTACCACAGTCGGGGTTGCCATGAATCCTGGTGCCCATCATCTCTCCTCCATGCTGGTCCACACACCAACACTCCCTCTGGCTCTGGTCACACTGCACCTTCTTGTAGTAGCCGTCCTCATCGCAGCTGGGGATGTACATTCCTGTGAGACACACACACACACACACACACATGCAAGCGCATGGCTACTTGTTAAATATTTATAGCCTCAGCACACAGCTGCTTTATGCTGATGCTTGAGATGATCATCAGCATAAATGAGAGCGCCAGCATGTTTGGTGAACCAGTAATAAGAACATCAGTCAGGATGAAGGTGCTGCTTTTTGGCTGACCAAGCTCTGCCTGTTTGTAGAAGCTGGTTGGCCTGAAGCAGTGTTACATGTCCTGAGGACTGTTGTTGAAGTGTGTGTGTTTGTTTTTCTCAAAATGAAAAATATTTTGCAAAGAAATGATCAGCTTTATTCCCAGATCTGATCTTTTTTCGCTCTGCGGTTAAGGCTGACGACCCAGAGCAGAGGTGTACCCCCCCCCCCCGCCTCCTCATGAGCTTGCAGTCAATACAATAAGGCTCCTCCTACATCTAGCCTGGTGCTTCAGGGATATTGCTACCCATATAGTCCATATAGTGCACCCAGAGACAATTCAGTGTCATGGCAGCTAGAGGGTGCAATTTAGTGATTTTGAGTATTAGAAATGGCGTGTTGCATTAAAACAATCAGTGCCTCTGCCCTTAATCCCAGTACAAAAAGGTCCTTCTGATCAAGTGAGGTGCTCAGAAATCACTCATCGCTCAAACACTCTTTGAACTTCACAATCTGCTGGGGAGGGGGAGAGAGAGAGAGAGATGGAGAGACGGAGGAGGAGGCGTATTTACCAGGCTTCTTCTTGGCTGCCTCCTGCACCTGGATCCTCTCCAGCTCAGCGAGGCATGGCGGCTCTGCAAGAATCACAAAAGAAAAGTGATGACAAACAATACTTGGACAATAGCCTGCGCTCAAACTTCATCTGAATCGATGCTCGTCATCATTACGCCTGCTTTGTCCGTATTGATTCGTTAAAAAAAGATGTGCATGTCATCCCCTCACGGCTGGATTGATTGTTCAGGGCAAGGGTGAGCATGGAAATGGAAATAAGTTGAACCAAATAAGGAACTATGGGGCAAATACTCACTGCAGGGCCACACCTGTGTTTGACGTTTACTAAATATGAATACAGTATCGTAAATAACAAAGTAAAGCAAAAAATTACAAATGAGAGAAATTCTTTGGAATGATTTAAATTTCATCACAGGCCCAATTGTAGGGTGTTCACGGGCCAGAAGTTTCCCACGTGCCAGGAGTTTGAGACTCGTCCATTGGAAATAAATTGTTCTCTGTTGCATCACAGTCAAACACAGAGGGAAAGACCTGGTTTATAACGATCAGCTGATGTTCAATATGCGCCAAAAATAATTATCCCGACAACACGTAATGGCGTGCAGTGACACCCGAGGGTCGTAATGAGGAATTGATCAGTGGGTTGGTGTAAAGTATCGCGTGCAGGTTAAATGCCAGATCAATTGGATAATCAGTGTGCAAATCAGGTTACTGCAGCGACATCCTGCAGTTTGGCAAAAGGTCAAATGCTGTGAACAACAGCGTGTGTACGAGGGGCTCTTTTCACCGTTTGTTTGTTTTTTCCCATCTTTAATATTCTCTATTTTGTTCTGTAATGGATATAGGGAAACCAGTTTCAGTCACTTGCATGTAGCATTTTAGCATTTATCACAGGCCACGTATCTGACTTTGACCTTAGAGAAAGGTAAAAAATAAATCAGCTGCTGATCCATAACCAGTGACTGTAGTGTTTGATGATTCAGGATCAAAATAGGTCAAATATATAGACAGATATAGTCAGACTGCAGCAGGGGAACATGTTGGGGGTCAGGAGCTCAGTTAATCAGCTGAAGCCCCAAGCCCCACCAGGAAAATACTTTGTTTCTCCCAGTGTGATGTGGAGATGAGGCTGTGTTGTGGGCGCGGTTCAATGAGGCCATGAAAACAGGCTTTGAAATGTGAATCATCAGAGCAAATCAGGCAAACTGTGAGATGAATCGAATAAAAAAAAAAACGCAGCTTCTGCCCAGCTTGGTCGCAGCAGGGGAGAAAAACATGCTAATCAAGCCGGGAATACGGCTGGAGCTGGACGAACGCTGGGAAACAGACGGATGGAGCGCTGATGAAAACCACTTGTGTTTAAAATAGGAAGCAACAGATGTTCAGACTGTGGCAGGACTCTCTGCTTATCTGGAGCGTTGACAGCATTTCATTAGTAGATTGTATGTGAGCAATGAACGGAACCGCTCCAAGTCATCAGTGACGCCAAAAAAAAAAGGTGTTAAAATGATCGTAAACTGAGACCGCTTTTGTGGAAAACAGAAAAGTCCACACTCCTGTGATGTAAACCACCACCTTGTGAGATCTCTAAACCTCATTGCTTCCCTTACTTTCTCTCCAGAAGCAGAGACACCACTCGGCAGTGGAGACCTTTCCGTCTTTGTAGCTGTCACAGGAGTTAAAGAAGGGTCTGATGCAGATCTCATATTTCTCCAGGTTTATAGCAGCTAGCTCAGCTTGGTCCAAGTACAGGTCACTGTTGGTGTCCAGCTTCGAGAACATCCAGCCAATGGAGTCCTTGCAACTAGCAACCAGGCTCTTGTCCAGCACTGCTGGCAACAAAACATACTTTTTTTTTTGCAAAGCAAAAGCAATAATTTGCATCGATATTTTATTGATTTCTTTTAGACAGACAAACACTTTTTTTTTCTGACCTGAAGTGGCGCCAGCTCCAAACTTGCCAGAGTTATTTCTCTTTGCGTTTCCATGGAGGAGTTGGAACCAGTCTCTGAGGCGATCACCCAGGTCTGCCAGGTCTTGGCCGGTGCAGCTTTCTAATAGAGGAAGAAAAAGAATTCCTGACATTTAAAACCTTGGCAGCCACTGAACAGCAATTTGCCGGTCCAAGACGGTCGGCCCTGCAGAGGCTCCAGATTGCCTTACATTTTTCTTACTGCTAAGACGATAAAAGGGAACATTTAGCTTGGTGTAAAGCTCGGGAAGCAAACTGATGAATTTTTTTTTTTGTGATTTGTGAAAATTACCGATTATAAAAAAGAAACATTATTTTGCCTTTAACCCAACTGCCACAAATTACTGTTGTCCAATAAAAATCCACTCTTCATCTGGGCCTCAGCTCTTACAACAAGCTACTGATGAAAACCAGCAGTAACATTTCATTCTTTTGATCAATTGGCCTTTTCATGTGCCTTAGAGCCCGGCCAATCAATACTGTTTGGTCGCAATGATAGATAGTGTACACTCTAAATAATTAATTGCTACATGATTGAAAGTGCAGTTTAGCCACATGGGGGGTATTTGGCTAACAGTAATCTCTAAAACTGGGTGTATTGATCCCAAACATCCAGCACTGGGGTGGATGGTTTTCTTCGTAAATTGAAGCCTCGGCCCTCAGAGACCCTGCTGTGTGGCCAACAACACACCATGGCTTTCTTTTTCTGAAGCCATTGACTCATGAAAGTGGAGCCACTAATGCAGAGAGACAGGTGTGAACCCACGAATCAAGAGGATTAAGATGGAGGAGGGAAGGAAGAGCACTCACCACGTTTGGTGTCAGTATTTGAGAGGGTAACAGCAGCAGTGGCACAGGGACAAAAACCACTACACATGACACTCAGGTCTTTGCCTGTGAGACAGGCCTGCTGCTCCAGCTTACACTGCACGGAGAAAAACAGAGGAGAGGGAAGAGAGAGAGGGGGAGAGAAGATGAACGACTGCTGTTTGAATATGTACAGGGGTCACTGAAAAAAAAAGTCCTCATTCAGATGAGACACAGCACTAAGAACACCGACAACGGCAGCAAAAATGAGTCGTCATTTTCCCGCCGTCTTCTAGTACAAGGTCAATATTTAAAGCTAAACATAAATCAGTATGGGTCCTGCCATTGGCCAGCATGCGGTGATGCAGCTCAAAAGGATGTCAGTCATTAATCACGCAGCCACTTTGTGTTGGTGCACTTGTCCTTTCAGAAGCGGTGATAAACGGTGCCGCCCCTGCTGCACCCACAAACATGTCGGCACAGCAGGAAACAGCATTTGACCGGACTCCTCTTATTACTTAAAACGATGACACAGTCGCTTGCCATGCTTATAGGTCAAACACCAGTAATACAAGCAAAAAAAAGCTTTCAGTACAAAGTTGTTTTTTTTAAAAAAAGCATTGGTTTTAACCTGAGAGGCGTAGTTGTGTCCATCAGAGCCACAAACAGGTGAGGACGCTGCCACTGGACATGGCTTACAGTTGGTTGGAGTCTCCACACGTTCTGACTGTTTGACTCTGTAGATGAAACAAGGCAAAAAAGTGAAAAATTTTAATTTAAGGCAACTTTGCCAACTCCCAAAATATTGTATTTTCTGGACTATAAGTCACACATTTTTCATCCTTTAGCTGGGTTTGTGCTTTATACTCAGGTGCGACGTATATAGTAAAATATATAATTTCATTTATTACATTTACAGCTGCTAGAGGGCACTCTAGGCTTTTGTACCAATATTTGCTTCTCCTGTACCAATGAAAATTTACATGTGCCACTAGAGGTTAAAGGTTATCTGTTAAAGGCCAGCAAAGTCTTCTTTTAGTGTCATTTTCTCTGCACCGCAGCAGATTATATTCACTGCTTATACAAACTAACATCTCAGCAAACATCACTTCACTCTCCAGTCTTCCCTTCCTAACCACCAGTTGTCCTCAGAATCTGTCAAACTCAGCCTCCCTGACTTCATCCCTTGAAAAAATCCCAACTAAGCTGAATGTGTGGTTTGCTCGGTGCTAATCCACAATCTTCTTATCCATCCTGTGTCACCTTAAACTCACCCCCTGTCTCCATGTCAACCTCTCGCTAAGTTCACCTTTCCTCCTCACCTTCCTCACTCTCCATCACACACATTTTTTGTCTGGCTTTTACTGAAATTCAATCCCCTTCTCTTCAGGTTCTCTTACAGCAGCCCTGCCACCCCTGCCACAGATTACAGTGTCATCGGCAGACAGCCACGCTCCACAGAGACTCCTGTCTGACTTCGTCTGTCAACCTGTCCATCACTGCTGCAAAAAAGACGGGGCTCAGAACTGATCCCTGATGGAACGTCACACCTTCCCTGAGCACTTCTCCTTCCCAGAACTGATCCTTGGTTCTGTACAACTAAATGTCCTCACTGACAGGACACTTTATTTTGTTCTGTGGTACTAAACAGACACAGGCTTTGGTCTCACAGTGGAAAACGAACACATTCCCATTAACACATTAGGAAAAAGACATTTTGCCAAAATCGACTTTTGAACATTTCTGTGTGTGTTTGTCTGTGTGCTGATGAGGTCTGTTTTTCTACAGCCAATGATGTTGTGTTATAAACACAACAGAAGAAAACTTCTAAACCCCGTTAAGTTAAGCAATGAAACAGCATATGTTAAATCCGTACCAGTTTGGTGAGACTGCCTCACCGTGTCATTTCCAAATTTGCTCTAACAAGATGTTTTCATTACAACTCATTTGTTCTAAACCCCGTTAAGTTAAGTAATGAAACAGCATATGTTAAATCCGTACCAGTTTGGTGAGACTGCCTCACCGTGTCATTTCCAAATTTGCTCTAACAAGATGTTTTCATTACAACTCATTTGTTTCCTTCTCTTCACGTTGACTTGTCAACAGCAAAAACAGAGAAATCCTCACTTTCCTGTTAATATTTGGATGTGCAGCTTCACGAACCTCAGATCTCCGTCACTCGGTGATTGATTTCATAAGAAGCGAGCTCGAGAGTCGGGCTGTGAGCAGTAAGACTTCAGCGATGCTAACTAATGATGCTGGCACGCTTTAGCGCCGACGTTGGATGCTTATTGGCCATTATTCCATGTCCTCGCTCTCATCTCTAAAGTGACTCTGTAAATGAAGTACTTTATTGAAAAAGATAAAAGGCTGGTGCTGCAGATAGATTTTTGCAGGTACTAATAATTCACTCCATTAGTTCTTTTCAGGCAGCTCATTTGTTTTTCAGTCAAAGTGGAATTAATGGGCAGAGGGATGGAAAATGCTTTTAAATGAGGTTGAGAACAGACAGGTAAGCCTTACAATGGATTGTGGGAAAGATATGAGGTTCTTCTTGACAAACATTGCCTTTCTCTACAAGCGTTTAGGAACCAAATTGTTATTTGACATTGTATGTTTTGTACTGTAGGGCAGGGCCCCCCAACCTCTGGTCCATGGACTGACACTGACACGTGGGTCCTTAATTAATAATGTACTCCATTTAAAGAGAATAAAGTCATTCCCATTAACTTCCTTTTAACTTATTTGGGGAATTTTTCAAAACAATGATACTAACAGATTAGAGTCTAAAAGTCTATTTTATTTATAATTAATTTATTTTCAAGACAAGTAAAAATAAACTTTGTAAATCTTTTACTGAAAACTTCTTCAAATTGTGTTTCCTTCAGAGAATTAGTTTTTATAGAATTTTGTCACGAACTGCTTCTCCACCTAATCTAAGGACTGAAATCGATTTCCCTTTAAAATGTTCTTTCACATTTGGTAAAAGAAAACGGAAAGATGAAGCTAAATTTAAACCCTTTCCAAAGCTTCAGTCAGTTTAACAAGTTTCCATTTGTGTTTTATTAAAAATTGATGTTTGCCCTGATTTCAGAATCGTTTCTTTTTTAGGGTTGAAAAAACCATAGTCGAATAAAACAACTTGTGAAATTTATTCGAATATAGTCGAATAAAACAACTTGTGAAATTTCAACCACCATCTGAGAACATTTGACTCACATATATAGACAAATTATAAGATCAATTGTAAGATACCAAATCCAAAATCTTTCTGGTTTTAGAAAAACTCAACTCATAAAAGCCTCATTCATTATTAATCCAGAGCTGCAGGGGTTCATGATCCATCGTGTGCTGGATCATCACGAGTCACTCCGTGGTTTTAAATAAACCATGTATGTTACGTGTAAAGGTTATAACCAGCAAGTGTAGCGACATACAAGCTATTAGCAGCTGCAAAAATGAACTTAACATTCATAAGCGTCTCAGGTCTAAATAATACATTTCAAACTTACCACCAAACCATAGCTCGTCAGCACACACTAAATTGATGTTCTCTACTTTACATGTCATGTTCTTCTGGCACTTTCACCACCCTCAGACCACACAGTTAGTCACTGCTCAGCAGTATTTCAGTTGAAATGACTTCAGTCTGACTCATGACACTCCGTCTGCTGAGTTTAATCCATAACTCTCAAACCAGGCCTTCAACTGACACGCAGCTAACGGCAGTAGACACAGACACCACAGAGACGTCCAGCCTGTCCGTACCAAAGACATTCTGGAACAGAGACAGCCTTAGATCATTTGGAGCGCGATGCGCTGCCTTGTCAGGGGAAGAAGTGTGGAACATAACACCCGGGCCTCACTACCGGAAACCAGCACAGTTGCACACCATGCATTTGAGGGTGATTTGAAAATGATGGATGCTGTAATATTGTGTCCAGACTCCGTCCCCAGACTTTGTTGACACCCAGGGAAAATTGTTTTTGTTTTGCTGCAACATCTGCCTTGGAGACACACACGGTTTTCCAATTCAACAAATTTAAATAACTCTCCACCTACCTGTGCTCAAGTTTCTTGCGATTGACACACATGGCTCTCTGGTAGCCTTGAGCGACGCACACCTTATGGCGGCTGCACTTCACATTCTGACAGGGGTCCTTGGTTGTGTCCATGTCTGTAATGGTAAAAATCCAGGGATATCAATCTGAGCTGAGGTTCATGTCCTCACATTCTTATTTTATTTTTACTCTCTCTCTCTCTCTCTCTGTCTCTCTCTCTCTGAGTGCTGTTCATTCCAGTTCGTACGCTCCTGTATTTACAGGTGACGACCTATTTTAAAAATGTACGCCATAAACATCATGCAATGTGCCGTGAGAAGTGCACTGTGCACAAATGAGCACATTGATTTTATAGTCAGGGCTGCTGAAAACATGGATGTCGAGCTGTCATTAGCGGAGCAGCGCTGTCAATAGTCCTCTGATTGCGAGCAGACCTGACAGAACTGATTGAGCATCTGCTTCTCTCGGCTTGTCACATCTCACTTCCCTCACGTCAACCTATCACTCTCCCTCCCTGGCCCGCCTTTCCCTCTCTCTCAATCTAACACGCACACACTCCATCCTTGTCTCCTGTGCTCCCTTTCCTTCCACCCATCTCGTCATCCATCCTGCCTCTCCCTCCCTGCCCGTCTCCTCACTTCAACCTTCTTTTTCTCTCACTTCAGAGAGTTGAATGGTTCAATGTCAACCTCTTTTATTTCCCTCTGATAGACTGAGATGGAAATAGCACCGCGTCCTTCAACTTCCTTCGGCGTGTGGTCACTGCAGCCAAAACTGTATGCCACACTCCCGCTGGTGCATATACTGCTCTGTCACAGTGGCCTCCACAAAAGCTCACATGCTCGGACAAATGTAAGGTAGAGGAGCAGGTAGAGAATGTCAGAGACATTTCAGCTGTGAAACTGTGTGTCACCTCTGGGCAGCTGCTTTATAATCTATGTCCTGAGAGAGCTATTTGGCATTTGAAATTTGGGGAAGAAGCTGACACTGTGATGCTATGAGAAACAGTGCGAGGAGAGAGTGCGTTTCATGTAACAAGTGGATGATGTTTGAACTCTGAGGGGATCAAAAAGTACTAGTGGGCTTGAAATGAGAATTTTAGGTGAGTTCACCACATAACGTTGTTGTCAGTGGTTTTCAACTCTGTCAGTTGTTCTGCATGGAGTGGACACAGCCCAGCAGTCAATGAGAAACACTACACTGGCTTTTTACAGTACCTTCAAACGTTCTCAAAATATAATTACTAATGCAATGCAGTTCAATGGGTTTGCATTTGTGGTTTTGGAGGTAAAGCCCAAATAATTTTGTTGTATAAAACTTAGATTTTTTTAAAAAGTGTTAAAAATGTATTATTTAAAAAAAATGTAAATGTCGCAACCGCGTACTTAATTGCGCCTCCTGTGGCAGCCTGTGTCAGTTGCGTGGACTCACACTGTAAATCTCGCCCATTGTGGGACAATTAAGGGACTCTTGTTTATTATAATTACAAATCTAATGTTAACATTAATGTCTCTTTTAGAGCCTGGCTTGGTGTTTTCACACCATCTCAGAGGATGATGT